TTGCTGTGAAAATTTTCGGCCATTCTCTTGTATTCATCAAACTTCATTATGACTTCATCCTTAGTTTTGATTGGATACACAGTAGAGTAACGAGAAGAATCATCGGTGAACGCAACAAAGTAATTTGAGCCTCCCAGTGACGGCGGTGAAATCTTTCCTACTACATCAGAGTGCACAATTTCTAAAGTTTCATTAGCTCGTGTGTTTGAGAACTTTGGAAACTTCTTGCGCTTCATCTTTCCTTGAATGCACACAGAGCATGGCTTGTTTGTTTCAAGATTGGATTCTTGTTTACTTTTAGTGGTTATTATGTTTCTCAAAGTGCCTGGGGAAGGGTGTCCTAGCCTGCGATGCCAGAGTCCATTCGACTGGATTGTTGAAATGTACGCTGCAGGACAATCTTCTTCTATAATATATAGTCTTCCCTGTCTTCTAGCTCTCAAAACAATTTCACCAGTTTCTGCCAGTATTTTTGCTTTACCATGGGCAAATTCAATCTTAAAACCTTTTTCTTCAATCTTGCCAATCGACAGCAAATTTCCGCCCAAGTCTGCTACATACAATACATTTGCAAGGTTAATGTTGCTTTTGGTAGAATCTTCTTGAACTGAAATAGTGATGTTTCCTGTTCCGCTAACTTGAACTTTTTCAGAATTCGCCACTTCTACTACTGAGGTGTAATCAGTTAGCGTCATGTGCTCTGTAGCACCACTGTCTAGAATCCAGATTGTTGAGTCTTCAGCTTAAATTTTATTTGTTAAGAAGGCCCAGTTCATTTTTAAATCTATAGCAGTCTTGGCACTGCTTTGATTTCTTTGTTGTGCTTCTTAACAATTTTTGGAGATGTGACCCCATTCTCCGCAGCTAAAACACCTGACAGTTTTCTTTGAATTTGCAGCTGTTTCGTTGTTTCTTTTTGTTGTCCATTTCTTCACAGTGTTTGTCTGCATTGGTCTTTTTTGAATATAGTTTCTTGCGTGAAGTGCCCGTTCTTCCTGCTCTTCAACGTTTGGCACATTTCTATATATTCTTTTTTCTTCAACTAATAGTCTAGACTTCACAATGGTTGTTGTCAAGTTATCTTCGTCCTTTTCTAAGTTCAGGATTAAGCTTTCGTATGATTTTGGCAGACCTATTAACATGACGAGGGCAACTTCTCTGTCGGTGAAAGCGTAACCACCACTCGACAGTTTTCTGCTTAAATTTTATTTGTTAAGAAGGCCCAGTTCATTTTTAAATCTATAGCAGTCTTGGCACTGCTTTGATTTCTTTGTTGTGCTTCTT